CTATTGCTACATAACCATAAGTGCTGTTGTGTCTCATTTTCTTGTTTACAGGAAATGCATGTCCATTCATTTCCATATAAATCAGGTCGTCTTATCTTCAAGTTTTCTAGTACAGGTAAATTATTATTCATAGTTTTAATTTTAAACGCTTTAATTTTGCTTTCTGAGAATGATGTCTCTGGTTGTCTGTTGTAAGATGAAAAGGCAAAACTTTTCCATGTTCTGTCCCAATCAATGTCCTTTATTAACTTTGCATATTTTGCAAGCCTGTGTAATAACAACCACCTATTAAAAGCTTCAGCTTGATTAATTGATTTGATGAAGGAACGTATTGGTTGTTCAATTAAAATATCATTAAAATATAGAGTAGCTTTAAGTGTCTTTGTTTTAGTGAAGTCGAATTTTATTGTTTGGCTTACAAGCCCTTGTTTAGCAGATAAGTCAGCTGCATTATTAAAAATATTGTTTGAATGTGCTTTAACTTTCCTACACTTCAAATTAATATTCTTTTTTTTAATCAACTCTTCTATTATGAGCCAAATAGTAAAATTTTTAATTTTGTATTTATGTGTTATTGGCACATAAATACATGGATTATTGAAGAATTCTAAGTACTCAATTGATGTTTTGCTATCTGTATAAATGATTACATTGCTATTTGAAGGAACTACAAGTAATGTTGTTAATATTGATATGGTTTCTGCTTTATTTGATGATGGCCAGTTTCCCATTCATGCATTAAAAGAATGAGTAATTTCATTATTGAGCTTTCTGACCCATCCTATACCCATATTCACTGATGTATCATCGATATACACATGTTTATATGATTTGGATAAAATTCTGCATTTGACAATCTTCAAAAACACGTGATCATACAAATTTTATTGCATTTTTGATTGGAAATTTTTTTCTCAAAAAATGGCGGTGTAGCACAAAAAGTTCAGCGACTAAGTGACTTGCACTATAATTCATTATGACAAATATTTTTAATTAATAAAAAAAGGGGCCAATATTTAAATTCGTTGTAACAAGAAATTTGCTGTGACAAGGTTCACTGTGACGAGGTTTGACTGTATTATTTTTATCAAGTATATGTTATATACTTAAATCATGATTCATTTTTTGTGTAAATTCTAGTTGAGAAATCTAGTAATACTTGATCTATGGAAAAAATCGAAATGTATATATTAATATACACATTAATACAAATGATTTTTAAATAAGAATCTAAACCATGAATAGTTATCCAATTTTGAAATCCCTGCATATAATTTCACAAATATATCAACCAACCTCCCAATAAATCAATTTCACATCTTTTACATTTATTGTATTATTTCATTAACATAGAAATATTTTTGTTTATCAATTGTAGTACAAAGTAATGACAAGCTATGTTTGAAAAAAATTGTTTCTACAATAAAATGAGTAAGCCTAAAAAATTCACAACACACATTTCCTAATTAATTAAGCTTTAGTTTTTGGGGAGAATGGTTTATATTCAACTCTGCTTCAGTTTCAGATGTAATCTGACATCGTTTCCCTTTGGTGTTTTCTAAAAACAAACTTTTAACTAATTTTTTGGTCACAAGCGATTTACTCTACATTTATTTGATCAACAACTTAGATAAATATTTGTGGTAAATACATACATTAACAAAGAACAATACTTACTTCAAGTAATTTGAGAATTCAGTACACATCCTCAAGCATCCCACATTCATCCTCGCCTGATGGTAATCTGCATTGATCAATTAAACCAAATCTATATATGCCATTCCCTGACCAATCCATGGAATAGAAGTTAAGTTCTAGACCTATTCATAAAACGAAATTCATTAACAAGTTAAACCTGCATAAGTATAATTGTGCAGGCGAGACTTACCAATTTGGAGCCTGTCATATATTGTTAAACTCTTACATTTCTCATCTGATACATATTTACACTCTTTTAGCAAATGGTTGATGCTATGATGCATACAGTCAAACCTTGTCATAACGGATTTCGATCTAGTACAAATTTAGAAAGTATCTGCAGAAATATTGTATTTGAT